CATACGCGTTCAGCTCTACCGTTCCTCGCACGCATTGGGAGCAAGCGATCACTGCCACTCCGTTGTCAATCAATCTGATACCAAAAAAACCTTGTCAAAAACAGTCGAAACTTCCCAAAAAATCTTTCACTTCTAACATCATGGGCAGGAGATTTCTCAGTGGAAAAAGCTCACGTAGATGCCTCTGTGAAAAAGAATTACCGATGTCATCGCTCTAAATCACCCTATCACCCCAGGGAGTTCACCGTGGTTAACATGCACGAGGATTGCTACCTCTTCAGCCAAGAGACGAAGTTCTTCTTACGAGCAGGGGCGTTCCCTGTGCCGTAGAGGAGCAGTACAACACCACGGACTGCGGTGTCGGCGAGTGTCTCCAAATCTGCAAAGCCAGGGACCTGAGCAGACAACACACGACTGCCTACAGACTACAACGCGTGAAGATCGCAGTGGACCACCACTGAACTGATCGCGCAAGCAACTAACACCATCCCTAAATACTCCACTGCTGACTCTCGTCAAGCCCAGAGATATCCCAAAGCAGTAACGAATCAACTCACCAGTCTAACGACAAGGATCGCGCTCTCCATTTCGGTATGTGTATGGAAGCGCCCTTTAGGTGGCGGCAGTAATAGATGCTCATTAAAGTGAATGTCAACACCGAGGGTAGCCAAAGGAGGAAAATTGGGCGAGTCGAATGCTGCTATCGATCCACTGTCAACCTAACAAGCACACCCGGGTTCGATCCCCGGCGACGGCACCGTTAATATTCCCACATCTTACCTTGACAGATCGGCAGCCTCGAAGCAGTCGCTCGTTGAAGAAGATACAAACCTCCGGAATGCTACAAAGACCTGCGCATAATCGCGCACAGCGAAGAATCAGTCCTCCAGGATCTTTCTAGGCCCTCACCCGCGAGCAGAATTGATATGATCAAGTTCCTCCTAGCGTCACTGTGAGGCTCCCCAAAGGGCAGGATGGAACCCGTGAACACAACCGGCTTCCCAAGATTGGCCAACATGAAGGATAGTGCACTCGCACTGTAGGCCATAGTATCCGTACCGTGAATGACCACAAAACCATCATAGTCGTAGTAGTTGTCTTCAATCGCCTGAAATGTGATCGAAAACTGTGGCTGAAACTGAACGGTGCGCATAGTTATCGCGAGAATCAATACAAGACTGGATTACTAGTTTCTT